TTCCCATGACAACAAACCACCTTTTCTTTTTAGTTTGTTCAGTTATACTTTGAAAAAAAAGAAAAGCTGATTGGCTGCAATGGACAACCGTTCCAGATTCTGTCTGCTCCAGTTTTTTTTTTTATCTGCTCCAGTTTTGATGTATCCCCCTCATCAAGTTTATGGTATTACTGCACTCCCGAAACAGTTTTTTAGGAGCTGTACCTTGTATCTGAGATAAGTCAACACAGCAGTAAGTGTAATTAACACATTACACTTACCACTCACTATCCTCTCCAGAGATATTTCCTGGAGTTCTCCTTTTCAGAGTTTACTCATAGAAAAAATATTAGTTTTTGGTGATGTGACATATTTCACACAGTTTCTGTGTAATTAGGTGTAATTTTCTTCCATCCAATTTTCAGGGTCTAACTATTTGAAGGCAGAAGACCAGACCGAATATGAACTTCTTTTAAGTGTTTCTGACTTGGCTGAGCGACCCTTTAGCTCCAACGTAAAAGTCTACATTACAGTGACAGAAAACCTATGGAAAGAACCAAAACCCGTCGTTATTGTGGAAAACTCTGTGTTGCCCCATCCTCATTATATAACTCAGGTAATATTCTGGGAAACTAGAATAGCCAACTGGTTGATATTTTACAGGTACCGATGGTAGATGTAGGTCTTGATGGGAATATCATTAATTAGGCCAAATATAAGAAAGATAGGAAACAATGCTATTTTTCTTCCATCAACAAGACTGAAAAGGTTTTATATAAAGCATAAGCATTTTTTGTATCCATACCGTCAATAAACCATGTTATTTTCAAACAATACAATATAAAATGTGCAAGCTGCTAAAAAATTATTTACATTAGATTAACCCCTTCGTGTCCACTGACGTACATAGTATGTCATTGGCAGCAGGCCCGTTTAATCAGACTTTGTTTACAATTGTAAAGCCGGCAGTCGGCTTTGGCTTTAGATATACTTTAACTGCATTACAGGTATGCATAGGGGAGTGTGTAAAGTTATCTGCAAACCTTAAACCTATTGCCATCTTTTTTAACTGTCTGTTGGCATTTTTGTTCAAAATGCCTGATTATGCAGCCTTGCAGCAAATCACTAAAGAGAAACTAAGAGGCAAATGACTAGTTCCCCTAAAAGTAGTCAACTTGATGTTTATAGGCCATCGGCCAATTTATTGGTTTGATTTCCATCTAATTCAATGCCAACTTAAATGAGACCTGTAATAAGAAAGATGCACAGCCTGCCATTGTTGATTTTGCTCTCTGAAAATGTTAGTAACCTAGCTGCCTTGCTGACGCTTTGGTTTCAGAAGGAAGCCTGCAGTGGCAGCCCCACCCCC